ATGTGGGCCGAGCCAGGCCACAAAAATAAGTAATTTGCAGGCTTCTAGCACTAAATGACAATAATGTTCCTGCATCTATAGTTTATAGTTATGTACTTTTGAGTTCTTATACAGTATGTATATAGTTTTTGTTTGCTAGTTATGAAAAAAGAATAAACGTTTAAAATTAAGTGCACTTTTATTTAATTAAAACAGTACCATAAAATACAACGATATTGTACATAAAAGTTTGTATAAATATCGAATATACAATAAAATGTATATAAAAGGTTTTGTCTACAAATAAAATTACAATAGTATTGTATAATACAGTACATATATATATATATATATTACATAAAATGGTTTAAACCGGGTATCTTAACACTATACTATAAAGGAATGTGTAAAAAAATTATTATAATAAAAAAGAATGATAAAATAGTAAATTTTTTTTTCTTTTCTTTTATTATTTTTTTTTTCTTTTCTTTTATTATTATTTTTTTCTTTTTTTTTAATTATGTAAAACAGAAATAGGAAGAGCTTCGGCGAAAAGATCTTCCAAGAGCTCTTGAAGGCCTTCGTTATCGTTGTTAGCGTCGTCGATTGGGATTGGCGGAATCGATGGGATCGGCGGCTGAACGGCAATAGGAATATTAACATTTATAATTCTTATTTCAGAATAACACTGCTGAGCGACAAGATGAGCCACCCGTTTAAACTCATCTACTAATTGTGTGTCTACAGTCTTTAATTGCTGCCACAAGTTACCCGCATGCCTGGATAAATCATGTCTTTCTATTCGGAGGTTAAGGGCCGTGACGCAATCCTGTAAGGAATTCCGGAATAAAATGAAACAAGTTTGTGTGGCTCTCCTGCCGCTATTTAGGCGGATGGTATACACTGTAGGGATCGTAAAAATCGCGCGATTATTTCTGAAGCTAATATAAAATTGACCACAGTCGCATTTGATGAAGTTTATATCGACACCATTTACGTTTGAATGAATTGAATAGGGTGTAGTCGACATTGTTGAGAGTGGTCGTTATTTAATCATTAAATTGTTCTGTGCCGTTTAAAAAATGATGAGGAAATCAACGACTGAGGAAACAAAAATTCAGAGAATAAAGGTACTTTATATAATTTCGATCGAAGCATCAATAAACTTTCTAAGAACATATTTACCGTTAACGATCAAGATTTTTTTTTTAAAAAAAAAAACTTAAAAAAAAAGCCACTTGACTTTTGGATAATCGAAAAAATGGCCTGATGTTTTTTTTTTCTTTTTCTAAGCTTATTATCGTGCCATTAACAATATTATTATAGAAGAGAATTTTTTTTCCTAATTATGAAGTTAAATTGGACTACGGACAATTCATGCTTTTTTAGGTGAAAAACAAAACTGCCATACTTTTTTGATCATTTACGCGTTAATGCGAATTGAGCCACTCTATAAAAGGAGAATTGAATAATCGAACATTATCTAATAAAAATTTGGTTTTGATAACTTAGTCAACGACGCGTGAATTTTTATTAGGTAAGTACGTTTGTTTAATAAAATGGCAAATATCAATCATAAATACATGTATAATAAAAGGTTAGTCCAAATCCATAAAAGGTATTTTTTAAAGGCTAAGGATTTATAATGTAAATGCAGTTTCCCATTTTTATGGGGTTTGTTAGCTTAATTATAAAATTACACGAGATTCCATAATTATAATATCTTTGATGACCTTCCATTCGAGATGAATATACTATTACTTTTAAATTTTTTTTAAGCATTTGAATAATTATTTATAGTTAATATCAAGTATTTAACATGTTCGCTCACTCTTTAGTATGTTAGAAATAAGAATTTTCTTCGGTTCTTACCGACATTTATTATAATCTTTAGTTATTTACTACAAAGATACATTTATTTGAAATTCAGATCATTCTAAATTCATATCATCCTATGAACATTGTACAACGCTGATCATTGCCTAATTTATGATTGAATAAGCTTCTAAGATTTCCAAGAATCCTAAAAATTTATTTATCAAAGAACCCGTGAAACCCGATCCATAAATATTGAAATACGATAGACACACGCACCAGCGTATGTACGTGCGCATTGTGACTCTGGGTCACACACATTACAATTTAATTGAACCTCATTCAAAAAACATATAGTTATGCAATTCGGATTCTTTAAATGAATAATTAATAATGTACAGTATATACTCTAAAATGCGCGCTTCGGGTTATTAATTAAAAAGAATAATGGAGTCATTAAACCTTTTACAAATTAATTCAATTTATTCAATTGTTAATACGATAACTGTAATCTAATCTCCAAATATGTATTTACATCTATTTACAAGATTACTTCTGCTAATATTAGAAAGTGGCATTCTGCATAAAAGATTCAATGACATTCATGGAAACCCAAATACGATCAAGGTATGACAAGGTAATCGTACTATATACGTTTTAAGTTTACAATGGCTGACTTAAAAAAAATTTCTTTATACGTAATGATAATTGTAAAGTACATACCAATACCAAATATGTAATATATGTACGCAACAGGCGTACATACGTGTGTGTACTTACATAAATATTCTCTTGGACAGAAAAATTTACACATGACACAAATACATTACTCTAAGGGTAGTAAATTTCGGATAGTATGTATACGTATATCGTATCTACTGCGGTAGTTTTAAGAATTTCTTAGACCCAGAATTAAATAATTATACATTGAAATTAATTTTAACCACCCTAATTATGTTTGAACAATATTTGAATTTCTTGTTTCAGATGTGTCGATATATCAAAATAATAAGTCCTACATAAGATGGTTCCTTTTAATATCTAAAGATCGCAAGGCCTATCAGTTTACGAATCACTTAAATCAAATTACAAAGTTTAACGAATTGCCAATATTTAGAGAATATATTTATTAACTATCTACATTTCTTTTCTAAATGTATGTTATCTAAAATTCTTCAATTACATGGACCCTCTGATCTCAAATGTATAGAGGTATATTATTATACTCTCTGAATACATTTGTTAAAATATGATGTGGTATCAAAATAAGAATAAAGATACTGTGATCAAGTCCGCAATCAATCACAGGATACTGAGGATACTGAGGATACTGTGGATACTGCAGATACTGCGGATACTGTGGCGTAAGTAGTCATCAGTTTTCTTTTGGCTGGATGCAATTTATTAATGCAATCTATTGCGTAATAAAGACAACTAGATCAGCCAGAACGGCAATGACGTTTAGAGAAGTTTGTTTTTTGGGAGTTTATAAAGCATCCTTTAATATGTGGACTCTTTTTTGCCGGTTGGAAGTAAAGAAAGTGAAAGAACAATGTGGCAATAATCGTCTCTTTGGAGCGAATTTGGACGTGTCGATCAAGAATTTTTTTGGGACCAGTGCATCCTAACTTATATGTGTCAAGTATTTAATTCGCTTTTTCATATCATTTGTTATTGTTCCTGTGATATGATCGATATTATTGTCATAAAATGACATCATCATTTATGCAAAATGTCGCGACAAAAAATTTCACATGCTAATATAATA